TAACTCGCATGTAAGCCTATCAGGTTCTAGAAATTTATTTTTTTTGCTTTAGATATGCAGTTATTCCCTCCAGATGTCTACAGGATCCAGTTCTGAAAAAAATTGTTCAAACAGGGGACACTTCTAAAACCCAGTTGAAGGAAGAAAAGCAAATGGCAGTTTCCCCCTTTTTTATAGGCAAAGCTAATTGCTGGGAGGTGGGAGACAAGTTTGCATCCTCTGCCTGGGGGAATTCAAATCTTCATATTTCATTTCCTGTCATCAAGCCTAAAAGCCAAGGCTACTAGATTAATGTTTGCTATGGCATCTTGGGAAATTTTACTGCATCTCCTGCCTAATTTGACTGGCCTTTTCAGCTGGAAAAGAGCTTCAGGCTTCATCTCTGCTGAGCCAGCAAGGTGATGCCCACTGCCTTCACGGGTAAGAACCGTGAAGGTTCTCTGAGGTCAGCCCTGGGGAATTCAGTGAGAAATCCAGGATGTCCCAGGACTGCAGGAGTACTGTGTATCTGGAGCTGTTGTGAATAGCAGGCACTGAGTTCACAATCTGGGTCCAGACCGCTACCAGCTGTTCATGCAGCTCTGCTGAAGACTATTCTGTGATTTTAATGGGCTCATCACTCCCTGCTCAAAGTCTCCATGGCCAATGCAGAGAATTCAAGATTCACTGGGTCAGACAAAGGGGAAGGAATACGAGTTACTAACCTACTAGTTTGGGCAGACAAGGCAAAGCAGCAGGTCTGGCATGCTAGTAGCTTCTCTAGGAACAGCTGATGCTTTTGCCTAATGAGTTTTTCATGTAAAATGCATGAACAATAGAGACTGGAATCCACATTTCAATTAATATTTTAAGTGTTTTATATCAAGTATTCACAGCAGAAAGGACTGAAGCTAATGTGTGTTCTTGCCCCTGGTGAGTGCCCTAACCACTCAGCAAGTGAGTTTTGCTCATTCCCATCCTTCTTCAGGCCCACTGAGTACTTAATTAGTCCATACAGAGAGGAACATCTTCAACAGGGAGGAGATTGAAATAAGCTACCTAAGAACACCCTGGAGAAGAATAACAAGGACTCAGATCTCTCTAGGCAGCGGAGCTACTTGAACCTAAGTCCCTTATTTACAAAGGAACCATTTTAACCTCTTTTGAGATACAGATTTAAAGGAGCTGGCAGAACTATGGAGGGCCAAGATGGAATGAGGATACAACACCATCCTCACATAGGAGTAAAGCTCCTTCTTCTCAAAGCAAGTCCAAGTGGCAAGTTTTGGCAATTCTCTGCCTAATTCTACATATGTATAGCAAAGAGGGCTGGAGGCCAAAGGACAGGGCTGTCACTTGTACTAGACCCAAGGGTTCTTCAGCACAGGGTTGAACACTCTGAAGTGACACCTAACTCCAATCTTTTGATACTTTAGAAATACAACACAATCTCTTCCCACCAGCAGTCACCTCTGCTAATGATGTCCTCAGCCCCTATTCTCAGAGGTATTTGATGCTCATGTCTCACTGGCACCAGGACTTAGGCCTAGTGTCTAGGACTACTGTCAGTTTTACTTCAATGGTTAAACTAGAGCAGACCTTTGGTATCTCTTATCTGTTATTGAGAGGTGGAAATAATGTGAAATCAGTCAAGATCTGCTGTGCTGCCCTGGGGATTCAGACAAAAAGGCAATATAAAAATGCACCCTTAAGATCAACGAGAAGCTACAGATCTTCCTCTGCTGGAGAATAGGGTAGATCAAGTTTAAAGAGAGCTAAATCCCCACTGTTTCCCTTTTTCCTGTACACATGCAAAACACGCTCTGCAAAGGTATACACTTCTGTTTGTTTTGTGTGGTTTCCTCAGGCAGTGAATTATCTAGGACTGGGACTGAGACTGGCTGTTTAGTTTCAGGCTTTACGATAAGCTTTTAATTATAGCACAGGAGTTTCATTACATGTTACTCCGAGCCAGCTGGAAGCAGTTACACTTTAGTCCTCCCCACCCCACGCTCCTCACCGCAGGACGTCATTTCCAAGGCCTTACCCTTCTTGTCTTGATGATTATGGGATGAAACTGCCACATATGGATCTGTATTTTCAGATGAACCAAGCGGATCCTTCCAATTCAGCATGCGTCCCCTAGCATCATAACCCTGTCGAGCGCGAGAGTCGGAAGTGGTGGTGCTTGGGACTAGGGAACTGGAGTGTCCTGTTTACATTATAAATACAGGTAGGGAAGACAAGTCTCATTAGTCACTTACCATGCTACCTTCCCACACTCAGGAATGCACCCACTACTTTGCTTTGGTGATGGGTGAACTTCTTGTCTTAGGCTGAGCAGTGTTTCCAAAGTCCTTCAAAGCATGGCCCCAAGGAAATGGGATTTGAACCTTCCAGATCAGGGTGTTAAAAGGTGCATGCACACCTTTTGCTGCCACTGAGCTGGTGGTTGTGTTCTTTCATTCAACAGAGTTAAATGCTTGTGGAAGAGGGTGAGCACACTTCATCTGAGTCAAACATCCTTCAGCTAGCTTTATACACGCCTGACTGACGCTGAGATGTCAGCTCATGTGTCTAGTACTGGCTTAGTTAAAAAGCAATTTTAAAACCAATTTGAAATGGAATAACTTCTAATATGGCTGAAACAGAAGGGAAATGTCAGAAAGTCTACAATATGATGACAGCAGTGGCTCTCTGTCCCATGGTCCCAGGGGAATGAAGGACTGCCTGGCACCCGTGTGCTCGTCCTGCAGCATTGCCCTCCGGATGGAAGATGTGCAGGGCCCAGCAGCCGCTTGCACCCACATGTACCCTTGCCATTGGTCCTGTCTGAGCTCACAGACCCAACTGGCTCTGAGATAAGCATGAAGTCGAACATCATTTTTGCTCAGAAAGACAGTGAAGATAACATCTGACTACTCAGACCTGCCAAGAACCTGCGATTCCAGCAGCTGCTGGACAGAGGTCTCGCATGCCTTTTTTCCATTACAGGTACTCTAGACATTGTTACTGTTGTCCTGAGTAAGGCTGAGGAGTTCCTCGCCTATCATATACATCCCAACAAACAGCACATCCATACGACATGCCCCGCTGTGTGGAAACACCACACAGCTTTATCAGCGATTCGGCTGGGGCAGAGCCGTGTGTGTAGGCTCACACGTTCTTTGCTGCTGGATCCCGAGGAGTATGTCAGCACCCAAAATGCTTGGAGTGCTTGGAGTCTACCATCACTGAAAGATGGCTTCAACCTGGACTTCCCAGTGGCTTGGGCTGCTCTGTTGCTATTGGGTTGGGGGCACCGAAACTCCATCCATACCACATTTTGACCTCAAAACCGCATGTGTATCTGAAAGTTCCCTTCCAGCACATGCTTCCAAATGAATTATTTTCAGTGAGACTCAAAGAGCTCTGGGCCTAGTTAATTTGATGTGGAGTAACTTCCCTTTCCTACTTTCCCGAAAGACACTATCAAAAGAGGGGGTCCTGAAACACGCTCAAACACAAACTAACAAACAGAAGTGGATTATTTACAAGACAGAAGGGCAGATAACTCTTACTCTTCAGATAACACCGGACAGACTGACCACAGCCCTCCTTTCTCCCGCCTCCTTTTTAAGAGCCCAGCAAATTAATTTTCCTTCCTTAGATGCGACTCCTTGGAGAGGAGCCCAATCACCAGGCTACAGACTGCCCAAGCAGTGACCCTCTCCCTGCTCCTTCTCTTGACATTGTTTCACTGCTCAGAAAAATAATTTGAAACTCACTGTGGCAGAGACAGAGCAACACAAGGAGCCCAAACTTGAAGCCTCATGGAGAAGGCACAGAGCTGGGCAGGTAGAGACTGTGCTTCTGTAGTTTATTTTAAACAGTCACTGGACAAGCACAAAGCTTTTGGAAGCTACATCTCAAAAAGGCTGCTTTAAACAGCTGCTAAGGCCATCCAGACCCAGCTCTCAGAAGCACAAGAGAGAGCTGATGAACCTAGGTCTCCAGTTCTACTCCCTCAATCAAAAATCTAAATGTTGGCCACCAATGCTCCCAAGCTTTTTGATGCACCCATGTGCTTTGTTTTACCTTTCTCTTTCATCAGCTTCATGGGGTTGAACTACTGACAAAGGCAGCAAAAAGGCTGCAACTTCTGTTAAGATGCTGCTATGATTTAAAGAAGTCCTGATGAATATTAATGATCTTACAGGAAGAAAGCGTCTGCTCCTCTGTATATTTTTGAGGAGCCCTTTTGATTTACTGCACACGATTACATATAGCAGTACTTTGGACAGTGTTTTGCATAGAACATAGATGTAACTAACTCCTGTAACTGGTATACTTAGCAAAGAAAATAAATTGGTCAAATTCACCATGTTCTCACCACAAAGCCAACCTTTGGCTACTACAGCTAATCATTAACACAATTTAGCTCTGGACCTCAGGCTGAAGGCTTATGCTGACAAGGGCGCTGAATTATTTTTTACCTCTCAGATAGGTACTGTGGTTTCTCCTAGCCATCTTTCTTTAACATGACAAATTAGAGGCTGTATTTCATTGAAAAGCTTTTAATGTTGCTCAAATAGAGAAGAGAAGCCAAACATTATCCACTTCTAAAAGGTTTCCATAAGCCACAGCATGGCCGGAAGCATCGGTAACACACATTTAGATGGGTGATACACTCTGACCCAAACGTGCTGCCTGCTCTGCAGCAGTCCTGCAGCAGGGCTGCCTATTTCCAAACGGACAGGTAGAGGTACAGCAACTGAAAAGACATGCCCTCTTGAAGCAAGAATACGCTGGAGTGTGAAAGAGTTCAACCCTGCACCATTTTACGCTTGTCAACTCCTGTGCTCATCCCCAAGAAATAAGAGAAATAACTGGACAGAGAACAGGCCAGAGAATGGAAATCATGAGATTTCTATGTCTTCTTTTCCCTGAGGACTAAACCACAGTGCCAGCATTCATGGGTTTCTCCAAGTCTCCAAGTTAATACCCCATTCAGCAACCACAATTATGTGTACATTATTGGTCAGCCTACAAAAAGTGCTGCGCTCAACATAAGAAAGCGATTAGTCATAGCTTGATAAGGAGTTAAAAGAGAAGAAAATCTTGCCAAGTAGCAATCATATTTTATACCCATGTTTGATATGCATTTATATAGTCATATATATCTTTGTCCAGACACCTCCACTTTAGGTGTGCTTAAAGGGGGAATTCTAACAAAAAGCCGTAAGTACGGTTAAAGAAAAACATTTCTTAACACAGTAATCTAGAGGAAATATATGCCAAAGGGACACATTTTCGGGGGGGGGGGAAGAAAAAGATTTCCTGGACCATATGCTGCAAACAGACAGAGAACTCCTTCGTAATGGAAAGCTAAGGCTTTGTGAAGATACTAATGTGTACCAGATGGTTGTTAGGTAGAGTAGGGTTTCACACAAACACAAGAAATCAGTCTATTCACTCAGTTACTAATGTGTTAGTCTAGTACACACTGAGAAACAACCTTCCACACCTAATCAAGACAAACTTTCTTCCACTTGACTTTGAGGAAGCAAGGCAGGAGCAGATTAGACCTTAATAGCCTGGCCCACTTGTGTTAGAGCTGTATTCTGCAAACACCACTGGACACTGGCTGCTCCTGTAAGCAGAATCACTGTGTCCTGTAAGTGTCAGAACAGCCAGTACTGCTGGGTGAACTTCACCTCTGAGCAGAGTGGCACCACACATGCATGAGCTAATTAAGTTTCTCTCATAAACAGAGATAAGACTGAAGTGGCAGGCAATGCAGTCCTGGCCCTTTCACACACAGCCATTATTAAACCTTTACAATGTGTTGTATAGTTTGCAACACGTAATGATCCTTTTTTTTTCCATTACACCATTTTTACCTGTGTCATTAAGTTTTTCTGCAATTTAAAGAGGCTTCAAAATTTTGAGGTGTGCCCAGTACCTCTATGTTAATACCGGTTAATACCTAAACATCTAAAAAACAATTCTGCCTTTGTTTTAAAACAACCAACCTGAAAACCTGCAGGGACAGTGCTTTTCAAACTTCTGTTGTTTAAAGCAAACATGTAAAAATTAAAATAGACACTCTTAAAAAAACCCCAACCCAATTGGTTTACATGCTTTCATTATTTGCAAAAACTTTTCATTTGGAGTGCTGTAATCAAGTAACAGAAGGAGAGTAAAAGCACTTAGTGTCTACAGGCATGGATAATGACTCAGAAGGGCTGCACTTCTGTAACTATAGCTCATTCTGAAGTGTACTTGTAAAACATAAGAAGGGTTTTTTCAGGTTTAAAACAAAGACAGGTATTCAATACGTATTTGATAGTTACTCTAATATGCGCAAGTCATTAGGATCTCAGAGGTTAAGATGTCTGCACACTAGCCTATTAACAGCAATAGCAACCTAATCAGACAATTAGAAGGAAAGGCTAAATCAATACTACAGAGGCAGAAAGGACTACGTCTAGGGGGTAAAATAAGGGCCCAATTCACTAAGAACTGATGTTCCCAAAGGTAATTGAAGCTGCTTAAAATTTTGCAGAAGAATCTAGCCTAATCTCCTTGTTTAAATATGTGGTTCTTGCATCATTTCTTTCTGACGTTCTGCACTCAGACCTTCAGCCTGCTATCTTCTTGTAGGGTATCTAAAGGGATCCACTTGAGCAGTCACCTTTGTGGACTTTGCACTTTACTTGTTTACAACCCATCACATGAGACTGCCCCAGAAAAGGGAGCTCACCTGCCTAATCCAGGAGGAGGCTGATGCCAAGAATACAAAGATTAAGGGCTTGGTTCTCCTTTCATTCAAACTGCTGCAGATCGGGAGTAAGTCTGTTGAAGCTAACTGATTTACAGTGGAGTAAATCAAGGGAATCAGGCCTTATGACTTCTTTTGCAAATGGTGTTTCAAGTGCCTTTACATACATTTAGCCTACTGGGTCCAAAAGCACCCTGAGCATTCACTTCTTGCTATTCTGGTATATCCCAGCATTCTGAGGTTTAATCTATTAAGAAGTATCATTTGCATTTAACTGTACTTAATACCATAAAAATGCACCACTCATAAAATCTTCGTTTTCTCAAGAAAAAGACTCAGAGCAGTCATTACAATTACCAAAGGTGAGCATGTTTACTGAGACTGGTTTACTACCTCATGCTGTAATTTTATACACTTCCTAATGTGGAAGATCAATAGAGGCGACCAGAACATTCTCTTTCATATTTTGCCACGGTAGGTGAAAAAAATAACTGCAATAATATCAGAATGGGTATTTTCACTAAACCCATAAAAAGAAAAGCTGACTTGCCTAGAGACCACGTTACCAGGATGTACCTGAGGGTCAGTGAAATCATCTCTGAAAGACTGGGCGTGAATGGGAACCAATGTTAATGTTGGGTCAGCATTTCTCCACTGCATCTGGCAGCTGAGTCCTATTCAAAGAGCTGGGTTAATTCCTGGAGTCTGTCTTTGGGCTTGACATGCCTGGACAGTAAAATGGACTCCGTTTTATGAGCTGTACTCCCAGCTTTTTTCACTCTGCTGCTCACTTGGATAACTTTTCGGATTTCCTGGTCATATTAAAATATCAGCTTTTGCTAAAGTCCCTACTAATATGGTAGCTGACGGGATCAACAACCACAGCCCCAAAGATATAACTGTTCAGCCTACAATTGTGCTTAGAAGCAGGAAATCTGGAACATTACTGGCAAAACAGCACTATGCAAAGGCCATTTTCTTTATCTTCACATTCAGCAGTACGGATTTAATTATTACTATTCTTTAATTACTGTTTTGTGCATTGGAAACACAATTTTCAAATGAAAGTACAAGCTATATATGCAGATGAAACCATGAGTCTTCCACACATTATGAAGTCTCAACTTGTCTTTGATTTTGTACATTCCCTTCACTGGTTTTCATTATCATGAAACTTTCAAACAAGTTTCACCTGCACATTTTCCATTTCCTGGTAATAAAGAACACGGGGAATTTGATTTTATTTTTACAAATGAGGAACAGCATTACTGTGCCTCCAGTTATTTATATTGTGCTGTACTGAGCTGTCATTGGTTCTGGTTTGTACCTACATGTTTTGCAGGCATGAGATGAAAGGATCTATTAAATGTTCGTGGCAACTGCACACTAACCTACCTCTTGCTACATTCAGCCAAACATATGGTGGATTTGCCCTACCTCTAGTGAACTGCTAGTCTTTTACAGCCTGAAAGCAATTTCACAAGCAACCTCCCATTCCACACGGAAATTTGCCATTGACTTCACTGGGAGCAATATCACATATCCTCTTAGCTTGTGAGTACTTGTCTGTGTGCAGGATGTATATAAAGACAAACTACTGCAATACAGGTCTAGGTTTGAATTTAAAGTGATTATTTATTCTGCAATAATTCCTCATGAAGACGTTTATTCTGCACTCCAAGTACCAGAGTAATCCACTTCTAAATACACAGAACAAAGTAGTGGAAAGCACTATGAGCACAGATTAACAGCTGTCTCATGGGAAACTGCTACTCCAGGCTTGCAGAAATGCTTCTCTTCAGCTCAGGTAATTTAATTTGCTATGCGAATCCCCTTTTTTTTTCTACAGACCAGATACTGCAAGCATGGGTAACAGAAATGACTCACCCTGTCAGTGCCCTGCAGGAGTCAAGGCATAACCCAGTCTCAGCTCACACGGTTAATAGGTTAATTTTCCTTCTGAGAGATCTTTCTGAAACCCAGAACCCAGTTCTGCCCCTTTCCCTGAGGTATCTCTGACTGTCTGCTGTCGCAGTCATGTCGCCAGTCTCATAACAAGTCATGAGTGGGATGTTAGCTGCTATCTTGTTTTTCCTGGCAAATAGGTAGGATGCATCACTGTACCCAAGTGTTCCTTTTTCTGAGTGTTCAGATGAAGCATACTCTTAATGTCTGCTCGTATGTCATTAAAGCAGGCCATATCTTACTTCAATTCAATGGAGGCAGTTTTGAGGGAAGACAAGAAAAGACGGATTGAAAATCAAGAGGTATGACTTAAACCTAGTTGTGATTAGTGAATCAGGCCCTCAAAACCAAGGCATAACAAGCATAAAAGGGTAACGACTACTTGAGTACAGAAACTACTAGCTAAGACAAGGATCTGGAGGAATTTTTAAAAACACCCATAAACTGACCATACACTGTGTCGTAAGACATTTCATGATCAGGTGAAGCAGTTGAGATGTCTATGAACAAAATAAATTGGGAAGAAACATTAAGCAAAACGAAAGTATGAAAATACTTAAGATTTTAGTAAAAAGTGATTCCTCCAAAATGGATTTGCTGTCAGTAAATAATGAAACTAAGAACTTCCTTACCATTCAGGGCTACGAAGGAATCTGAAAGACAAATAACAGGGGAAACATCATTATTTTTCTCTTTTTTATTTTTTACTAGTTTGCTGCTAACAGTCTTTTATCCTCCAGGTGATATTTATATGTATGTGATTAGTACCCTAATGACCCAGGCAAAACTAATATTCAGACATACCCGAAAACAATGTCTGGCTCTGAAAGTGTTCATGACCAGCCCTGTGCATGGGAAACCAGCTGGGAAGGCCTATGTCCTCCCTGCCATGGCTATCTTTGCAAGATAAAGTCCTTATCTAACACAAGGCAATACAAGTGATGCAGCCAGCAATGGGAGTCAGTGAGGACAAAACTCAAAGGACCCAAGACTACCTGAAGTAATAAGATCAGCTAGGTTATCAGGGAGTGAAATCTGCCCCTGTGCAGTGTCAAGGTTCAATGCATTATTCAGGACTAACGAGGGATTTAAGCAGGGTATAGGCTTTGTTGTTCTCTGCACAGAAACAGATGTCTCTCCATGAGCACAATGTGCTGTTCCTGAATAATTTCCTACCTTTCTTTTATATTTAACTGATATTAGGTATACTGCACTCTTGTCTAACCTCTTTGGCTGAGGAAAGCAGAACTGGCTGAAAGGGCAAAGTTGCACCAGCTGGGAACTGACCTGATTTTGGTGCTAATAACACTAACAGGGAGCACAGGAGGGACTATGCGTACACCTCCTTCAAAAAACTTTGAGACAGCCTACATAACCCTGTCTTAGGGCAGAGGCAGAGGAAGGTGTAGCTGAGATGGAGGGAGGGCATACAGAGGCTGAATCCTTGTATTCCCCCAAGCACAGTGACCACAGTAATAAATGGCTCTTGAATAAGGATGCACCAAGGCATGAGAAGGCTCTGTCCTTCTCCAGAACAGCTGGCCTGCACTGTATCCCATGGCACATTCTAGCCCTCCATTATTTTGTTCTGTATTGCAAAAAGTAATGACTCTCTCACTGTACATCAATTCCTCAGCTTCAGCAGTTTTATTGCATGTACAGGCATCAGTGCAAACTGCACTGAAAAGAATGTGATTCTTGATTTCATAAGGTTTATAAACAATATTCGGGCTCAGAATTACACTTGAGAAGAACATTCGGAACAAGAGCTGCCCTGAACACAGATGTTGGTATTCCTGAAGTTTGAGAAATCAGCATGCAAGGTTTCTTTGCACGCAGTGCAAGCTGTACACTTTTAAGCACCTCAATGCAAAATGTGAATGTTTAAAGACTGTGCTTAAGCTTTCAACTCAAGCTGTCAGTGCCTAAGGTTTACCATTAAAATTTGTTAGGTAGGGTCAGTAGTGACTGACTCTTAATACCACTATGGTGTCCAGCCTGTGTGTAAAATCCACTAAGATTCACAAAGTAAGTAGTTGCCACTTCTTGATCTGGATCCAAAGCTGAAGATACATTTCACTGTCTCCCTGTCCTGCATGGGAATGAGTACAAGTCACATTCTACATCAAGAAACTAAGCCAGCTGTGCATCTACATACACAACCCAACTACCATGGGTAACAAAGACAATGAACACCCAATTCATTATGTCATTGCTATAATCAATATCCTCTAGAACAGAGGTTTTCTCACTACATAACTGCTTTGAAGTCTGGTGTTTGTATAAATCACATCAATTGGGCAATTTTCCTTATATACATTTAAACAACCATTCCTCTTCTTAACCTGCATCATTAGCTGTCATTGCTGTCCCTGTTGTGGTTTACATATTGCTGCCAAAGAACATCCAACAGGTAGCGGTGATTTGAGGCATTCAGAAGAACGCTGTGACACATGGTAAATAGAGGGTAAAAGATTTGCTTACTTTGGCAGTCACCCAGTCCATCTGTATTGCCATGTTCTATGTCCTGTTCGAATGCCAGTCTAAATAATAGAAAAATACAAAACAGTATGAATAAAAGCAGTTGCAGGTACGACCAGAAAGAAATTATCAAATGTTCAACTGAAATAAAGCCCTGCCGTAAAACTGGCCATTTCTTTGGAACCTCCACAAAAAGGCTGAAAAATTGCAACATAGAGTTATTTCTCATTGCTTAATGATTTCTTGGCTTCTGATAATGTTTCCTCTTTTTATTATTACTTTTTAAAAATCCACTGTATGCCTTGTGATCAAGGGAGATGAATAGATTCAAACTTTTTAAACTCTTAACTCTATAATAAATGATATTATCAGGAGCAATTACAATACTACCTTAACTTGTCCATATAGCAGACAAGGTGCACTGATACTTTGATGTGAGAAGGAAGGTCACCCTTAACTTGTCCATATAGTAGACAAGGTGCACTGATACTTTGATGTGAGAAGGAAGGTCACCCATTAGGTAGGTGCTGTTTTGTGGGAAGACAACCTGTGTTTCAACAGACACTCAGGTATTGTGCTAGATGAGGACGCAAGGCGTAAGTTCCAGTCCACAGATGGCATTCCACTGAACTCAAGGGTCTTTTATGAAAAACGCTCAAAGGCTTTTCTAGCTGGCATGCCCAATTTACACTCCCAACCTCTGCCTGTGATTTTGGATAACTAGTGAAGCTGTTCTTCCAACTTCCTGTACAATTAAAGATGAATGACAAGAGCCTTGGAAAACGTCCAAAACAAGCCCTTGTCTACATTAGTTAGAATCCTGCCCTTGAGGCATAATTACCCTTGCAGGCACCTCATTCCCAACTCCATGTTTTTAAAACTTCTGCTCAAGTGTCACCTACTCCAGGAGGGCACCTAACATCTCTGCCAACTGTTGACTAGTTTACAAGTTCAATAGACATCTTTTCGGCTGAGCTGGATCTCCTTTCTAAGTGTTATGCATTGGACAGAGAGCAACCTGCCTTGCTCGCCCCTGGAATGCACCACTGCAAGTTGCACTGCCTCTGCCTCTATGGATCTATTGATAAACACAGAAGCTGCTTCTAGAGTAAGGTATGTAAGTTCCCTACAACATGCCATCAAAGTGCAAAAAGACTTAAGCACTTTGGGAATACTGGAAAACCTGATATGGACACATGTCCATTTTAACATTATTCTTCCAAATGTCCAGTCAGAAACAGTCCACTCTCTCACAGTAAAGCATATACAGAAAAATACAGCTATAGCATCCCAGGTGGACAAAACAATTTGAGTTGAATTAGCAAATTAAGAGCAAGACACAAGCACAGGAAGGTAACTCATCCATTATATACAGAAGACCTGTACAGGACCAGTGTTAAGTGGGGCAAGAAGTGGGGGTGTCGAGGTTGTGTGGTGTTGTGCTACACTTGCACCACTACCATGAAGAAGTATAGCTGGACCTTAGGGTGGGCATGCATGAGGTGTGTCAGACGTGGCCAAGAAATGAGATCTCTGAAGGGGATCAGCTCCCTGAAAGAAGGCTTTAGTAGCCACATTTAAACAAACCTTCACAGACTTTCATTATTGTAAGATAATTAAATTCTACTGTTAAACAAGGGGAGATCCAGCACTTCTCTGAATCTGCTTTAAGCTCTTACTGTGCTCTGATTCCTCTTAGTAATGCACAGTAAATTAGAAGAACTGGTTTTGTTTTCAATGGACAAATTGCTTCAGTAATTTAATTTGGATTCTATTGCCTCTTTAATCAGCTGTGATGGCTCCAGCGTGGGCTGATCCAGATATACCCATCCAGTTCCCTCCTTTCAATAACACACAACCTTAGTACAGCTCTTTAATTTTCTTCCTCCTCCTCTTTCAGCAGTTACCAATCAGCTGAGAGTTCACATCAGAAAAATTTGTAAGACATTTCAGGGGTGAATGCAAATAAGGTAGAAACAAATACTTCCCACATTTTTCCTTTCCTAAGAGCTCCATGTTTCACATAGCTCTGCCCAAGACTGCCTGGCGCCACTGCCAGACCTTCACATCCCGTCCAGCCAGAGCCCTTACTCACTTGGAGCCAAGAACCAGCTGTGTGCACACCCCGCTCTCCTTCATCCATCCGCAGTACGGGTCTCTGGATGCTATGCAGGCCCTTGAGAAAGAAAAGCACAAGGTGGCATTCATGAGTGCTCCTGCCTTCCCCTTCCCCTTGGGGCCACATACTGACAGCCACCAGAAAACACATACTTTTTGCATTTGCCATGACGCTCGCAACGTCCCAGGGGAACCTTGATGACACAGGTGGAGAAGGCGACATAGAGGGCGCTGCTGGGCTTGTCAAGCTGCATGCCCACGATCCGCTTGTCCTCCACGCCATCGTAGCTGCACCTGGTCCAAAAAGAAGTTTCAAATTAGTTCTGCTGGGAAACTAGATGAAAGCTTAGTGATTCCTCAAGCCAAAAAATAAAACAAATCAACCCAAAAAACTCCTGCAAAACAACTCAAGAACGGCAGAATTGAATAAGGCAAGGAAAAGAACATACAATAGCCACTAAAACCACCAATACACATAAAAATGAGTATTAAAAATACATGGGACAGGGGAATAAGAAGTGGAGAGAGACGGCACACACCAGACAAACTTTCTGAAGGGCCCTTCGCATTTTTGTGTTTATTCTTCTCCAGCACTCAAAGTAGCTGAAATTTCAGCATGATTATGGCCCACTTCAAAGCCCCCTTAGGCATATTTGAGGAACGTTGAAATGCAGGAAATTTCCCTTGGAGAGCAGCTTGCTAGTTGTTGAGTTATTTGGAGAGGAATCAAGTTTTTTTTTTATAGGATTAGAAAATTAATCTTCCTTTGCAGAATTCACTTTTAATTATCCAGCAACTGCTGCATAGGATGGGCTATTTTCTACACATACTGAAAAAAACCTCTTATTGCAATGTAGAGACTGATAAGCAGACATCCCCTCCTCAAACAATTTAAAATTACTCAAAAAACTTGGCTTCTCTAACCATTTCCCTTTTCATGGGACAACCTACTCTGGGAAATCGGAAGTTCAAAGTCACCCATACACAAGCACGAAGAATCAGATACACACTTTTCAGGATTGTAAATGTTCATCTCCTCCAGGAAAAGGCTGTCATTTAGGAAACCACTGTTTCCTGTCCGTGCCAAGAACTTCAAGATGATTCCCTTCTCTGATCCCAAGAAAACCACGGTGTAGTTCTGGTATGGCCCAGCAGCAGAGTCCACGGCAATTTTGGTGAGGCGGTATCTAGAATAGCAACACAGCATTTTGCATCACTTGGGATTAGATTGCCATTTATTTTATTATATTTTGCATTTCAGAGAACTGCATGGTAGCCTTCTAGCAACCATGTAACATATTTAAGCACTTTTCCTAGCTGAATAACCCTCTAAGTCAACACAGACAGCACCAGATTGACTCCCCAAATGGTGGGGAATTTTCGTGTGTTTGCCTGCAAGTCCATGTGCCCAACTGCTAGCAGAAGTGTTTGCAGAAAGCTAATGGGGCCATTTAGGAATTATCCTCCCAGTCAAAAGCAAAGTACTGGCCTGGTGAGGTCTTCAGGCAGGGAATGAAAATTAGTGCAGCAAATTTCCTTTATTAATTTCGAGCTCTGACACATTAAAAGCAGCAATAATGACAACTGATCTACATCCAAATTTCTTGGCAGGAAAAGCTGTGCCCATGCAATAGTGAGACACTACAATGCCTTTTTCCTTAGTAAACATAATCACACAACTGCCACTAAGTGAGTTTGGTGCTGAGACGCTACTGCATCTTGGGATGACACAGTTTGTTGAAACTGAGTACTGGTGATCAAAGGAAAGTGTTCTGCAGGGCTTCCTGCTCCCACCTTTGGTTGGAGGTATAGAACCTGGCATAAAAACCTGACGGTAGATACATCACTAGAACTAAGTCACACCTTTCCAAAGCTAAACAGCTCCTGGCACAGAACTCTACCCTTGTACAGAGGGAGAGAGGAAAATAGGCAAAAGTTAGTCATTCTGTTCACAATTGGAGGGTAGATAAGTAGTATAGCGACCACAGCAAAAAGTGGGAATGTATTTGATAGGAAGGGGATGGTGTACTTGAGGCTTGCTGATTTATGAGTCTTCGTTCAAATCCCTTCACTATTATTTTTCCCTTGTCACAGAAAGGACACAGATTATGTGATTACTTCTGCCTGTACACTTCTGTAAACATTAAAACATACCAGTACACAACCCGACAGACATCTTCATATCCTGTGAACACATCCTGGCAGACATGTTTGTATCCTGTGTACATATCACTGGGCTGTCTGCTGATCCTTGCCCAAAGTTTTCTACTGAGCTGTCTCAAACACTTGACCCACAAGCCAACAGGCAGGCTCAGCCTTCCACTCACAGTATTTCCTCCAAGATCCAGTTTCAGCACAGTGTGGTTGGAAAGGACTGAGGTTTATTCCTATCTTGAAAGTTGCTCAGGTAGTTCCACAGCATCTGGTTAGTGCTGCCATCTTTCCTACTTGGATACATGCCCAGCACACCAAGGATGTTTACAGAGTTTAAGAGTGTTCTGAGCAAGACTATCAGCACAACTTGACAGCTACGATGAGCACAAGAGGTACATACCTGACCATTGTTCTCAGGAACCAGGGTCGATTGACAATGGAAGGTACAGCCTCATCCATCAGAGGATGTGTTTTGATGAAGTTCAGAGTATCATCCGGGAACTCGTTAGAGGTTACATATTTTTCTAACGATGTAGAGCCAGCACAGCAACCAGGCCTAAATAAAACGAGGGTAAAGCCAGAACACTTATTTGATGCCTAGTGCAAATCTCCTTTAGAAATGAGGCCCTCAGTGAAATCTGATGTGCATTACAAGGATTTAAATGGGGGATTGAGAAGTCTGGTGTACTTGTTCAGCCCCTCAGGGAAAGCCGAAAATCCTGCTATATCCTCCACGCAAAAGGACTTAACATTTCACCTAGAAGCACAACGACAAATTTCTTCAGC